GATTTCAGTACGAGGTTGGATGTAAATGGCATTTCTTAGTTTCTTCAAAAGTCTCCTCAGTTGAAAAAGTTAAATCAAGATGAAAGTCCTCCACTCCTTAACAAGCTCAATACGTTTGGTACAGTGAGCTCATGAAGCTCATTGATAGGCCCTGATTAGGCGTTCTCTTCCCCAGGATTACGTAATTGATGGCCCATGATCATGTGCATTGTAGTTGACAGACGGAGGGCCATATCCTGAGTTACAGAAACTTACACAGTTTTCATGGCCAACTCCATACAGTCGAATTCTTTCCATTTCTTAGTTAAAATTCAACATTTACAGAGTCTCAACCCTCAGTGAGTGAGCTTTCTTGCAGGCTGAAACAATAGGAAATACATTTCTTTGGGCTAGAGAGTCTAATCCCTGGCAGTGTTTCTGATGAACCAAAATGTGGTAAAGGCTTCTGGAGCCTTCCTGAGTGATGGCTACAAATGCCTCTGCTAACTTACTGCAAAACGGACAGAGCCAGTGGCACCCCCCTTCCCGATGCCTCAGTGACCCCCTGATAGGTCCTGTAGGGTATCTTGCAGACAGAAATCGATGAACAAGCAGTGAGACATCTGGGAGAGAAGTTTAAGCTTGAGTAGAAACATGAAAAGGCCAACATCTCTCATCTCCTCTCACGAGATCCATGTCATGGGTCAGTACGTGTGCTGCTTTTTGGTATGAAGGTTTCCCAGGACTTTACCCACAGAGCCCACTTCACCTGTATTACATGACTCAGAATTCACTCTCCCCTGATGGGAGAGGGGCTCAGGCCAACAGCTGCCAACTGTTTCTACCCGTGGACATGCCTCCACTCACTATTTTTGACAACGGGTGTGTGGAATCATAAACAATCAAACTTAGTGTCACATTCTTTGAATTGGAGAAGGACTCGCCCTCTCCTGGCTGAATCAACAATACAGGGAGTGCTGCCTTTCTGTGGATTGGAGGGAAAGTTCTCTCTCTTCACGGGTCTCATCAACCATCTAGTTGAGGGAGACAGAGAAGAAAGTGATGGGGAGAAGGGAGAGTGGAAGAGAGTGAGTTAGAGAGAGACAGAGAGAGCATTCTCAAAACAAAATATCAAGACAAGTGCTGGGAGAACAACTCAATTCCCCAATAGTTGCCTCTGGGGTCAATCACAAACCTGACAATGAAGATGAATGACCGGTGGCGCGGTTACTGGACAGTCTCCTAGACGTGAAGTTTGGTTCCTAGGCTGCTGTCCACGGAGGAGCTAGGAAGTTCCAGAGCATGGTGGTTTGTTGGGGTTTAGAGATAAGCCTCTCTATCTCTCTCTCTCACACACACCCAGCAGCAGCAACAAAGAGTTAAGTCACAGTTTCATTAATGCATAGAGTCACTTCAAAAGAAATGAAACGGGTCCCTCTAGGGCAGTGGTTCTCAACCTTCCTCAGGGCGCCACCCTTTCATACAGTTCCTCATGTTGTGGTCACCCCCAACCATCAAATTATTTTCGTTGCCACTTCATAACTGTCATTTTGCTAGTTATGAACTGGGTGACCCCTGTGAAAGGGTCATTCGACCCCCAAAGTGGTCGCGACCCACAGGTTGAGAACCACTGCTCTAGCGAGTTGAGAAGGGAAATCTTAAGCATAGCTAAGATACACTTTGCTCTTGGAGTGAAGCATGTCCCCTTTCACCGGTAAAGGACATTTTCTAGGGGAAGGCTTCGAGTTTCTAAGTGGCACTTAGCTAGAACATCTCTACTGACTAAGTTTAAAAGGAATTTTTACTGTAGGAGAGGGGCTGTTACATTTGCATATATTTGTACATATGTATGTGTGTGTGTATACACACATATACACATACACACAGAGACCTGGTAGTGTAGTGGTTATGACTTGTGCACGATCCACATGGTCAGCAGTTCAAAACCAGCAGCAGCTCTGTGGGAGAAAGACTGGGTTTTCTACTCCCATAAACAGGTACAGGCTCAGAAACCCACAGGGGTCCCTGTGAAAGGCAGCAAGCATTGACTCAATGGATGTGAGTTTGTTTTGACTATTAACCAGCTCGTTTTTTTTTTTTGGTATTTAAAGTTGCTCTTTTATATTTATTTATTTAAGTCATTTTATTGGTGGCTCATACAGCTCTTATCACAATCCATGCATCTATCCATTGTATCAAGCACATTTGTACATTTTTGCTGCCATCATCATTTTCAAAACATTAACCAGTTCTAGAGCATGATGGGTGAGGCCCTCCTTGGTGTTACACACGCACATATTCTGATGTCCAGAAGAGAGTAAGTAACACATGAATTCGGTCTGTGCCCAAAGCTGCAAGGCGGTCAGCCATGAATCCCCAGGCCAGCCTCGACCATCTAAACATACCCAGCACGACCTGCTATCAGGGGTGTTAGCCAACAGATTAACTGTTGATTGGAGTGAGGCAATAAGAGCGAATTTAGCTGATGTAGCCACAGTGCAAAACAACAAGAACAGAATAATTGTACAGGTTATACTCATGTAGCCTTTCAAAGGGATATTTCCAGGCCCTCCAGTGGCTCACAGGTCCAGTTTTTGTCCTTGGTTGCATTAGTTTTGGACTGTGCTGGGTGGTAAGATTTCATTCTGGACGGGTGTATCCCATCAGTTGATTACAACTCATAGCAACTCTCTAGAACTACTCTTGAGAGTTTTAAGACGGTGTGTCTTCATAGGAGCAGAGTTTTCTCTTTCTCTTGCAAAATGAATTGGACCACTAACCTTGCACTTAGTCACCTTGTGCTTAACCCTTTGTGCCACCAGGGTTCCTTCCACTATGACTGAAATAGGTAAGGTTTATTGTGCCAACCTGGCCGATAAACACGTGTCATTAATTGAAGGGCAGAGAGATAAATGGGTTGGTGAGCCTTGCCTTTCTAGTTCTCGGGTCTCTTGCTCTCTGATGGTCGGACCAGGGTGTAGCTGCCTTAGCCAGCTCCCTGCTTCAGCTGGCAAGTCTCACTTCCTGTGAAACATCCCTGAGGAGAAGCTGCATGGACCTACCCCGATGGAGCCATGGGTGCTGGAGCAGTTGTGTGGAGACCCCTGCCAGCGCTGAGATGCTTACACACTCACTGATACGGCTTTCCTCCTCCAGTGTCATTGCGTGTGTTTTGTGAGATTGAGGAGGACTTTGTAGATCAGTGTTGGACTTATGGGCTTGGACAGCACTGGGTTGGGATGCTTTCTTAATGTACACTTACTCTCTATATAAAGCTCTCTCTTATATACACATGAGTTTATGTGGATTTGTTCTCTAGTCTACCCAGACTAACATAATGACTATACACCCAAACTAAAGAACACCAGACTTAGGGTCCTTGAGTTGATTCTGATTAACAGTGAGTAGCCCTATGTGTTACAAAGTAGAACAGCTCCATAGAATGTTCTTATTATCCATCATGAAAACATATGCATGACAAAGCATGTAGGTATGGCAAAGCAAGATGCCAAACACGTTCTGCGAGTAGTTCAATGCAACAGATGTGCATTGAGCATGGAGACTTCACATAAGATCCATAAGTAAGGCTGGATTCTTCAAAAGAACTGTGAACACTTCCTGTTTCACATACCTGTTAGATTTCTAGGGTGGGAAATACCTCGGTTCTTGGCTTCGCACAAGAAAGAATTCACTCTGAAGCTGGTTTGTGATCCAAGTGGGTTTTTATAAAGGACAGAAGAAAATTCAGGCTATACAGTCACCGAACACAGCCACCCTTGGGGCACTGCACACCCACACGTGGTGGCCTGAGGCCAGAGAGAGAGACCGCAGCAAGGCCAAGCAGAAGGCGGAGTTGCAGCTGGGAAAAAGGGTGGTGGTCTCGAAGTTCCAGCTTTTAGGGCCTTCAGCCGGGAGGTGTGGTCGACAGTACTGGTTGAGCCTGTTGGCTGAATTAAGCCCACCTGGCCTAGTTTGGGCCCACCCAGGTGTACCACCACCCACCTGGCTCGGGGCCTGAATTGGCGCATGCCCAGTAGACACCCCTGGTCCCTAACATACCCACAGGGAGTTGGCTTAATACAAGCAGGAGTTTGCACAGCCCAGGTAGAGCTGGCAAGTCTTCTGTATCATCGTCCTCCTGGGTGTGTGTGTCTTCATGTGTTCTACACGACGATGTGCTTAAACGCACAGACAGCGGGCACACACCTGAAACGGAGCCCCAGGGTTGCCTGACGACAACTGTCCTTGAAGGAGGTGGCAGAGGCACGGTGCGTGGAAGAGGCAGTCATAAGAGGTACTGGGATTTGAAATGAGTGGCTAGTCTGAGCTCCTTGCCTTTCTCCTTGAGAAGGCAGGGTGGGAGAGAGCCTTATTTGTGGGTTGTTTCCATAGGTTTCATTTAACTCACCGAAGTTTTAATGGAAGTAATAATTGCCTTATTAGGTTTTCAATGGCATTATTAAAGTGGATTCACACGCTAACCCCTCTGGGGCTGGAAGTCTCAGGCAAAGGCTTCCACACGAAAAACATAAATCACATGGCCTTTTTTCCTGTTCACTCCCTTTTGTCTAATAATCTTTCCCTTGACAGTGCCCCAGGGACGAGCTAGATAGGGACCATTCCAAGTTCTCTGTCGCTCAGAGGGCTCATACGATCACATGATAGATAGCCTGCCAAGCTGCAAGCACAGGGGCTCCTATTTGGTTCCCGTCCCTGGGCAGCGCTTGGTGAGGCCATCATATGATACTTGGGAGGGGGTTGGGGGTGTTCCTGACTCCAACCTGATAGGAAATTTCATCTACAACTTCTGTATCTGGGAGTTGCAGAGGGAAAGAGAAAAGGCGTGAGAAAAATGTGATTCCTGGCAGGAAAGAGTGAAGCAGTGAGTGCTTGCTTGTGTGTGTTTTTAAAAACAGGGTGGCACCCCCCTAGCCAACTCCGCAGAGAAGACATAAATAAACTGCTTATCTCTCGCGTGGAGCCCCTCCCATTGGCCTGTGCTGAAGGAGGGTGATAGATGTGCCGCTTCCTCTCTTGGCGCGGAGGGTCAGGAGCCCCACAGCCAGTCTTCCCCTGGGCACCCACTCCGTCCTCTGCCTGTGGCCAGACCGTTGGCTATGAGTGGCCCCAATGGCACCTCGCTGGGCACCAGCGGTAAGTCCTGTGACCCTCGAGGATCTGGCGTCCAGGGGCTGGCGGGAGCTGGGGATGGGGTGGCGGGCTTGGTGGCGCCGCGCTCCAGCAAAGAAGTTGGGGGCCTGGGGCGAGGGCGGCCCGTCCCGGCGGCCCAGAGCGCGGACTCCAGTGCGCTCGGAACGCAGCCGCCACCGAGCCGCCCCGCAGCCCGCCTCTGCCCCGAGCTCTTCGGGCTGGTTTTCTAGTATCGCGCTGCTCGGTACCTGAGACCCAACCGCTTTGCCCTAGGAAAATAAAAGCCGCGCCTCTGAGCAGGGCCGGCGGGCAGCACTGGGGAGCGAGCGGAGCCGCGGGAACGAACCGCCGGCTCCACTCGCAGCAAACGAACAAGCTCATCCCTCGCCGGTGGGGCTGGGGGTTCTGAGGCCCAGAAGAGATCTTATGGCCCCGACCTTCAGGGATGGGGATCCTTTACTGCCTGAGTTCTTTCTTTTATCACATGAAGAGATGCTTCTTCTTTTTGACATGGAAAGATTCTTTATGAGGTTGTCCCAAACGTTGCTGCCCACCCCCACGCCCCCCACCCTCTCCTTGCTTCTGTGCTCTTGAAGGAAAAGAACAGAAAAAAGCTGGGATTTTGTTGTTGAAAGACCTGAATGTTTATTTCTCTTATCCCTGCCTCTTTCCCTGGCTTATTACTAAACTATGTCAGCGCAGAGCGATCCTGAGCTTATGGTATGATTCACTTAAAATCATTAATATACTAGTGTTACGATATGCTAGTATCAGAAACACCACCTCTTTCACAAGTCTCTAAGATCCAGGAGGCTAGGAGGCCTTACCTTCTTCAGCAGGGTGTGCGTCAGCATGCCTTCTGTCTAAATGGGTTTCTATGGACCTGTGTGCGGGACACAGGCAGTGCAGAGGGAACAAGGGCTGCCCTGCATTGAGATCATCTGTGTAGTTTATTAGCTGTGTACATGAGGCGCGTCCAACTTTTTTAGCACTAGTTTTCTCATCTGCAAAATTAGATTTTCCTCTTCGGATTGTGAGATTAAATCTTTAGAAAATATTGCAAGGTAGAGATAGCTCAATAGATGTCAGGTTCTTTTACATGAGATTAAGGATTGCTGAGCTCATGTAGGCTAAGTAATGTATGGGTATGCATGTGCATGTGTGTGCGCATGAGTACAGCCTGATTATGAGACAGAAGTCTATAACTGAGCCCAACAACAACAAAACACTTTCCCCTGGATGTCTTGGTTGTTAGACCTGTTACTGGGGTTACTTGGGGTACTGATTCAGAACACTGCATCAGCTCTGGTTTCTTAGATGTGGTGCTCCACTAGATTTTCAGCTATTCATTTATACAAATGATTAACTTATCATCCTAGTTTTAAATGTGAGAAGAATTCAGACCCACAAATTATAGGATAAGACAAAAAAGGTAAGAAATATTTGAAAAACAATTATAAAGGGACTTCCAAGAGAAGCTGCATATTGACCCACGGTGGCCAGTGGTGACACATTGAACTGCCAATCAATAGTTGCAACTCACTGGTCACTCTGCATCCTTTAAAAGATTCAAAGGATTTGGAAACCCAAAGAGGCAGTTCTTCGGTTCACTATGAGTTAGAACCAATCAGAGGCAGCAGGCTTTTCTTTTGGGTATGGGAGTCTGTGCGGTATATTCAAAGACCTCAAGTTGGATACTGCAAAGCAGAACACAGCTTGAGAATAGTGAAAAATAAAAAAGAAAATTGAAAACTTGCATATATGGAAGGTATGAGAGCAATTTAGAGTATTAAAAATGTAGACCCGATAGCAATTTTCATAAATATTTTAAAAATCTGATTTTTCTTCTTCAACATATGCGGTAAACATTCAGAACACCTTTTGATTAAAACAACAACATATTTTAATTCATGTTAAATGTTTCAGAGGTGAGGTTGACTCCAAGTTTCTTTATAAGAAAAATTCTAACATTTCTTACAAGACTTTCTGTGAACAGGTGGAGATGTTGTGCCACCTTATAACAAGAATGGGACATTTCAATTTTAGGAAAGGAGTTTGAACTCTGACAGACCCATTTTTGGTTTCAGAACATTTAGATTTTAGTTATTGTACCAAACTCACTACTACTCAGTCAATTATAACTCATAGCAACACCATAATACAGAGTGGAATGTCTCCTGTGGGTTTCTGAGGGTGAAAATCTTTTTTGTTAAAATATTTTATTGGGGGCTCATACACCTCTTATCACCATCCATCCATCCATTATGTCAAACACATTTGTACATTTGTTGCCATCATCATTCTCAAAATATTTGCTTTCTACTTGAGCCCTTGGTATCAGCTCCTCATTTTCCCCCTCCCTCCCTGCTGCCCCCATGAATCCTTGATAATTTATAAATTATTATTATTTTTTCATGTCTTACACTGTCTGATGTCTTCCTTCACCCACTTTTCTGTTATCTGTCCCCCAGGGAGGGGGTTATA